AGAAGTCTCTATCGAGTATAATAAGTCAATGAACAACAATAATTCATAAGATGAGTTTCGTTTCATGGCACAAAAACCTTTGTCGCTCTTCCTGTCGAGAAGAAAACGGGAGCCTCGTTCCTTCGTGTAAGAAGACGGCGGTTGCATCTCTCGAATGTCTTTCCAGGAGCGATAATCCTTCTACGAAAGTCTTTGTTCCACTCAGGAGGACGCACGTGAGGTAGAGCCACAAACGGAGGGCGGGCCACCCTCCCTCCTTCAGCGCCGCCCCTACAACTCCTCGGTGAAGACATAGGCGGGGTTCTTGTTCCCTCGCACCGCCGACGGGCCGGGGCGGGGCGGCGGGGACAGCCTCGTGCGCCGCGTGGCCAGGTACGACGACTGGCGCTTCGGGTACACGGGCACGGCCACGGGGCGGTTCCACACCTGTTCCTTGACGACACCATCAGGAAGTTGAGGCAGTTGGTGAGCGCGAGCACGACGGCCGCCGTGTACCACACCATCCGCCAACGCTCGAGGGTGGCCTGTTGAGCACAGCGTTAGAGAATTTGAAGAACAATTTTTCATTACGTCACACCTTACATATATCTCTATATCTTTCCTCACGTCCTATATGACATAACATAAAAATACAATCACAGAAACGATAGAAAATCTACAATGTCTCTCTTTCCCCTCACCTGTCCATCCGTGAGATAAGCCACATACAGAGGCGAAAGCACCTGTACAGCTGCGCCAATAGTGCCACTGACGCCGGCGATTGCAGCTGCGTGGTTGGGTGCCAGTTCGATGCCATTGGCCAGGAAGGTGGAGAAGGAAGCCGACAAGCCCAGTGCCAGCGCCATGGAACACCAGACCAACACAGCGACTTGCGAACAGCTGGATTGCGCGACGGCCACGAGGCATCCGGCGGTTACCAGAGCGCCTGCGAAAGTAGAAGCAGAGATGACGTTTCTGTTTTTTCCTAATTACCTTTATTTAATCAATGTCCTTGTTAGCGTTTTCAGAGTATATATGAGTTAGATGTATATGCATATGATCTTATCCCTTCTTCTTTATGGAGAGCTTATGCCCACTGTAACCGATGTTATGTGATATGGTAAGAAAAGGTACGATTTGAGTATTAATGCTAATTCTTTTCTTCTACTACGAGTGGACATCATAACAAGAAGAACAATGTCTACCAAGGCCGCTTTCGTCTTGGGTCTCTATAACACGTCCCTCTAGTTTGGTCTTTGTTTATTGCCCATGAAAACAAGATGATGATAAATGAGATGAAACGTAATTAAAGGACATTAAAGATTTCAATAGATTAATTAGATTAATGGACATGTAAAATAGCGATAATAAATAATTTATAACAAATATTATATCAAAAGGGAATTAAAACCATTACAAAGACAATAACACTATAACGAATGCAATAACAATGACAATAACACTATAAGGAATGCAATAACACTGACAAAGACAATAACCCTATAACGAAAACTCACACAGTGTGTTCGCTGCCCGACGCACGACCACTGTAGAGCGTCGATTCGTGCGCCTCACCCAGTCCGTTAAGGTGGCGTACACTATGGCAATGATCCACATGGCAAAGAGAGCCGTGCCCATGCCACACGTGCCTGGAAGGGGAGGGAAGGGTTAGAGAATTTGACGCAGGGACGCAGGCAGGTAATTTAGGTGGGAGAGGTTAGGGGGGGGGGTGAGAGGTTTAATTTATTTATCTATTTTTATTTTTATTTATTTATTTTTTGGTGTGTGTGTGTGGGGGAGGGGATTAGATACTTACAAACAGTTTTACGTACACTTTCATAGTTCTCTCCCTATCCGATCTCTCTCTCTCTCTGTCTCTCTCTCTCTCACACCACACACTACATCCTCCAACGCCCCGCCCAAACCCTCACTGGTGATCGGGAACATGCAACACGGTCCTGCATACTCGCGGGCGTGGTGAAGGAGGGTAAACCACGCCCATGAGAAGCCCAACTCAGCTAAGACGACAGCGAAGACGTAACGAGATCTGAGGAGAAAAAATAATTTAGTTTTAGTTTTATTTCCTTTTATTACAGTGGAATTATAGATGATTATTGTTGCTGATGCCGATTAATGGTATTTTGTTGCGAGGTGGATGGAGTAGGAAGTGGTATAATGATGAGCGAATTGCAGAAAAATAAATGAGTAAATGGAGGAAAAGGAGAAGAAAATGAAATACATTCGCAGTAAGTATTCATCTCCAAACACACACACACACATGCACGCCCTTGCAAACCCACCTGAATATATGAGGCCACGGCACCGGCAGGCCCCCAGGCGTGCTGTGCTCCAATGCTCGATGTGATGTGCGTCTTCTCCTGCGTGGTGATGCGTGGTGCTTGGCAGGGTTCTCCGCACCAGGAACTGCCACAGGACGCACCACACGAGAGCCACGGCGCCCTGCAGGTAGAACAGCGCCCGCCAGCCGATCACGGTCACCATCCACTCCGACACTGGGCCCGAGCGCAGCGCCGACGGCCAGGCCTGGAGGAGGGGCAGGGAGAGAGGTGGGCGGGGCTTAGTTTAAGGAATTCAGATGCCGTTTTTTTCTTTTATTTCTTTTATTTCTTTCGAGTTAAATTTGGTGACTCTAATTGCTCTTGGTTTTCTGTTCCATTTTCAATTCTCATTTTATTTTCTATGTTTAGAGCCTGTATGCCAGGTCATTATAAGTAGGTAAATATAACTACGAATCTAATAAGCCAATTAAAAAAAGAAAAAAATCAACGAAAAAAACATACCAGAATACGTGTAGGCAACCATGACAGTGCGGTCCATCGGCGGCGCCCATTGAGCGAGAACTGCTTGCATGGCCGGAACACACACGCCCTGCAACATGGAATGGAAGGATTGTTTTTATTATGTTAATTCCCTTTTTTGTATACCTGTTTCGTTGTCTTTGTTAATTTACTCGCTAGTTTTATTATCTATAATTGTTTCCCTGTCCTCTTGTTTTTTCTCATTGATATCAACCTAATTAGTATCACTGATATGCGTATCGCTGTTATTATTAGTAAGTTAATGCTTTATTGTCAATGTATGGAGTATATCATTACACATCATAATCATTATAATTTATTGATGTTATTATTCTCGTTATTATCATCATCTTTTTTTCATTTTTATCACCATTTTAGTAGTCGTACTAGTACTATTATTATCCATATAATCATCATAATTATTACTAATATTAACTTATGACCAGTTTCATCATTATAGTTGTTGTTGTTGTGTTGATGTTGTTGTTATCATTATCATTATATAATTCCTCTTATCATCATCATCTCTCACACCACGTACCTGCGCCGCGCCGACCATGATGCGAGCAGCGAGGAGCCAATACGGACCGATGTGGGCGGCCGTGGGCGTGAGAATGGTGAGCACCGCGGCCATGGAAGCGCCCATGAGGAACAGGAGTTTGCCCCCGATCATGCCGGCCAGCCTCCCGCCCACCAGCTGCGTCAGGAGGAAGCCCCAAGAGAAGCCAGCTCGGATCCGCGCCTGCAGCTCGGCCTCCCACACGAACTCGCCGTCCTTGTGCTCCTGGAAAGAGGTCTTCGTTGGGTCCGTGTTACTGGCTGGGTCGGATTTGCGGGTTGGGGATGGGGGGGGGATGGGGTGGCTTTTAAGGGGTGGGGGTGGGGGGGGTATTTTAAAAGAGGGGTGGGGGGGGGGTACTTTAAGGAGAGGTAGGAGGGGGTATTTTAAAGGAGGGGTGGGAGGGGGTATTTGAAAGGAAGGGTAGAAAGGGGTAGTTTTAAAGAGGGGTGGGGTATTTTAGGCAGGGTGGAGTATTTTTGGAAGTAGGGGCATTTTGAGGGGATATTTAAAGAGAAAAAATTGGGATATTTAAAGGGATGGGATATTTACAAATGAGGGGAAGTATTGGATAATGGAAGAAGTATGCAGTTAAAGGGGATATTGGATTTTTTATTCATTGTTTCATTGGGTTAGGGAGTTTGGTTAGTTCTCGTTCTTTTGCTCTCTCTCTCTTTTCTTTCTCTCTCACACACAAATATATTACGGTTTCAAAACACAAACACTCTTGTGCTTCCCCCCTTCTCACTATTTCTTGTAACATCCTTTCCTCTTACTCCCCCCCCCCCTTACCTCCTTCGCAATAATAATACTAAATAACAGCTCTTACATTTAAGTTGGCTTCACTAATTATTCTCTCCTTGAAACACATTCTCTCATTCTGTCTTCTCTTTCTTTATCCAATTCTCGTCTTCCTCTTTTCTCGTTTCCTTCTTTTCCATATAATATATCAACCACATAAAAATCATTTTTATTTTCACTAATTTTACTCGATCCGGTGCAAGTAATTTCTTCACTTTCACTCTCTTTTTTCACTCGTCTTTGCTTTTCTTCTTCCTCATTCATCTCTCATTCTCTTCTCTATCTGAATCTCTTTTTCCATCCCTCTCATGCAGCTATAAAATCTCATTTCTCCTCTATTTCTCTTTCTCTCTATTTCTCTCCTCTCCTTCCATTCCTCTCACCCTTTTCTCCCCTACCCCTCTCTTCTCGTCTTATCTCTCGTTATATTTCCTTCCCTCATTCCCTCTCTCCTTTTCATTAATCAACCTCTTCCTTTCTCCAATTCTATCCGTTCATCTCTTTCTCTCTCTTCTCTCACTTTTCATCCTTTCGTTTTCCTCTTCCATACGTCTCTCTCTTCTTTCTTCTTCCCTCTCCTTCCTTCCCCCCTCTCTCTCTCTTTCCCTCCCTCCTCTCTCTCTTTCCCTCCTCCCTCTCTCTTTTCATCCCTCCCTCCCCTCCCTCTCTTGTCATCCCTCCCTCCCTCCCTCTCTTGTCATCCTCCTCCCCTCCCTCTCTTGTCATCCTCCTCCCTCCCCTCTCTCTCTTTCCATCCGTCTCTCTCTCTCTCTCCATCTCCCTCTCTCACAACCCAAAACGGACAGTGCTTTACCTCCACCAAGCTGGCGCGATCCACATTCTGGCTTCGAAGCAGACGGTCGACGGGAACCTCTGGCCGGCCAACATGATCTCTCCGTTCGAATTCTCTTTGTCCTGGAAAGGGAATGCGATGATGATGATTATTGCTATTATTGTTGTTGTTATTATTATTATAAATGTTATTATTACTATTATGATCAACGTTATTATTATTACTACTACTATTATTAGTATTTTTATTACTATTATTTTTATGATCATCCTTATTATTATCACTATTATCATTGTCCCCATTACTGTTGTTTTTTCATTATCATCATTACCATTAATTATACTGTGACGATACTGATAGTTTTATAGTTATAGTTATCATTATGTGATTGCTCTAATCTGTCATGTTTTACTAATCTTGCTTTCATTTTAAACATTTTACCATTCCATTTCTATATTTACAACTTTATCATCACAAAAACTGTAAAAGAGATAATTGTAGAACAGCTTCAACAATAAAATTGAATTTACCTTCTCCTCATCTTCCTCTTCTTCGTCTTCCTCCTCGCCATCCTCTTCATCTTCGTCCTCATCCTCATCGTCTTCATCTTCATCATCGTCATCTTCATCGTCGTCGTCCTCATCATCGTCATCGTCCTCCTCCAGGGACTCGTCCTCGTCGCTCTCCTCGGACTCGTTGCGATGACGGAATCTGTACCAGCGGCCGTCCTCGTCGGTCATCCAGGTCCGCTGCCGTTGAGCGCCGCGTCGAACACCTCCCGGAGAAGTACTCTCTCCCTTCGTTACTCGAGTCCTCGTCACTCTCGTCGCTGTCCTCCTCGCTCGACGACGACGAATCTCCTTCGAGACTCTCCGAGGACTCGCTCGAGGAGCTGGAGGACGAAGAGCTGGAGGATGAGGAGCTGCTGTCGGTGTAGTTGGTATGTGTTCGGTTGTTGTCGCCGTCCCATTCCTCGGAGAGCATCCACTCGTAGCTGTGGTCGTCCTCGTGCGAGGTCACGTTGAAGAGGCTGCCGACGCCAAGGCCAAAGTGGAAGCCGTCGGCAAGGGTGAAGTTGTCGTCGCCTAAGGTGAAGTTGCCGTTGGCGAGGGTGAAGTTGCCATCGGCGAAGGTGGTGTTGTCGTCGGCGAGAGTGAAATTACTGTCGACGAGAGTTAAGTTGCTATCGGCAAGGGTAAAGTTGTCGTCAAGGGAGAAGTTGCCGTCGGCGAGGGTGAGATTGCCGTCGGTGAAGGTGAAGTTGCCGTCGCCCGCTTCCGCCGTGACGTTCTGGATGCCCTCCAGAGGTCCTCTTTGAGTCGTGGGTTCTTCTTGAGTCAGAGGTTCTTCGTGAATCAGCGTCGCCGGCGTTTCTTCGGGCGCCTTCTTCTTCGAGGGCTCGTCGCGCACTTTGCCCGGCTGGCAGTGCTCGATGTCGGTACAAATATCCGGAAGGGTTTCGTCGCTGTTGTTCTCGGAGAGGAGGTGCTTGTCGTCGACCGATCTCTTGCTTATTTCCTTCGCATCCGGTGACGGAGACGAGGTGGTCGCGTCTTCAAAGGTCGTGGCCGAAGTAGATGAAGACACCTGGGGCGTGACTGGGTTACTTAGTGTTGTGGGAGTCGTTCCCGAACTAGTCTGAGGTGGAGTGTTACTTTGAGTACTCCTCTGAGTCGTAGTCGTCTGCTGAGACTCCAAAGAGAGCGATGGTAGTGTTGTTTGAGGAGACTCTAAGGGAACTGGAGCAGTGGAAGGAGTATTGGATGAAGTTGTAGTTGCACTCTCGGTTGTAGTTGTTGCCGAAGAAGGAATGCTTGGTGACGTATTGATGTGACTTTGAGCTGTTGAAGGAGTCTTGGGCGTCTCTGAAGAAATTCCAGATGGAGTTGTTGTATCCATTTGACGTGCAGTAGTCTGAGGAGGAATGCTGAATGGTGTTGTATCACTCGGTTCAGCTGTAGTGGACTGGGGCGTCTTTGAAAGTACAGTTGAAGTTCTTGCATTTATCTGTGTTGTTGGGAGCTGAGAGGTTGTTGAGGTTTTGGTTGTGGGGGAATTGGTTGAAATATCATTGGCAGGAACTGTAACTGGCGCATTGATGGACTGCGGGCTCGTAGACTGAGTGCTGACTGTGGAAGTTGCATCGAGTAGGGAAGCAGTTACTATAGCAGCGCTGGTTGGGACAAAAGAGTTTTGGGTGACACTGGTAGACTCAGTAGGGGCTGGAGTTGTAGAGTTTGAGATTGGGTTGTAGATTTGATGATTGGAGTTGATGAAGTTGTCTTTGCTTCGGTATTTGACAAGGGAGTGCTATGTCGGGGAGGGCCGTGGGTGTGACGCCTTCCAAGGTAGCGACTTCAATTTGAGGAGCTGTTACTGCTGATGTACTTAGGATGGTGACAGCCACTTCCTCAGGGGAAATGCTCGTGTTTCCTCCAAGCGTGACTGGGTTGTTCCTTGAGTGTTTACTAGTGCAGGTGGAGTTATTACGTCACTGAGAGGCCTCAGGGTAAAGCCATCAGGAGAAGTCGAAGGAAGATCTTTTAGCG